TTGTCACATGGCTGTAACTTGCCGTAACTATAGTAAGTAATATAATAAAGTTACGGCTATAATGCCGTAACTTTATTATATTACTTACTATTGCTATAGTTACGGCAAGTTACAGCCATGTGACAACTATCATTCGACATCATTGGGACGATTCTTCTGCATCACTAGTGCAGACTAACCAAATTTAATAAAAAAAAACGAAGTAAATTTATTAAAATCAAACAGGGTAACTTCGAGCTTGTCTTGTGAGACAAAAGCTCGAATTTACTCTTGATTTTAATAAATATATAATATCAAAAAACGTAACTTCTGTTTAAACTCTGTGTTTTATATACTATTCGATTTAAACTATAAGTCTTTAACTATTAAACTATAGTATTATATCATAAGGTATCTCTAACCACCTAAGTTTTTGATTATGTAAACGAAATTTTTTTTAAAACAAAGTGACCACATATCGATATAATTTGATTGACAGGACACCCCAGTCATGTGTATATTTCAGCACTGGCAGATGCTGAAATAAGTCATGTGATTAATCAGTTAAATAATGAACCTGTATTTTATATTAATGGCTGTGGAATTTGCTTAACGTTAATATTTCGAGTGCTTATTAGTAAGTTTATTATAAATTCCGAACTGTTCACACTATTAGAATAGAATTGTCACCCAAAAAAGTTTCAAGTAAAATTTCGTTTTTTTAGGTTAGGGTTAGGATTTTAAGGAAAACTTTTAATTAATGCGCAGAAGGCAGTTTCATAGACTAAATTTTGGATTTGACAAAACGAACGTTTGTTTTGAATTTTCTCAATTGTGTTACATTACACCTGATCTTGAAATATGATTGGTCATGAAACTTTTTCAGGTGGCCAATTGTTCACACTGTATAGTATCAGAAATGTGTTATGCACATTTTTAAATTACGGCCAGAACCAATCTTAATTCGGGCCGTAACTTAAAACAGCGCTTAACTCCAGTACATAATTGTCTTTAAATCAGCATAAAGTTAATAATATAACAATATACAGATACATTTTTAATGTTTTTTACTCCTCGAAGCGAAAAATTAGCATAAGAAAACTTTTAAAAAAATCGATTATTATTTGACATCATTATAATTGTTTAATCGAAGAAATTCAACAATTTATCATAAGATGCAATCATAGTATATTAATAAACGTAATTTAATTTTACTGTCACTAACATCCGCTATGACATGTATTTAATCTTGAAAGTGGCTTTGTTTGATGATTTAATGAGTGTAGAGAGATAGTGGTAGTTTTTTATGATTACTAATCGATTTGTAAATTAAAAGTCACGTGGAACATATAAAATACAAGGCTTTAGATGCTTCTGATTGTATCAGTATTAAATAAATATTGATTGTATTATTCGAGTTAATAAGATGACTTAAGTTTATAAATACGATCGAAATGTAAAATATTAATTATTTCTTTCTTAAAGAGAGATTTCTTCGAATAACAATACAATTTTTTAAGATTCAAGTTTTTCACTTAACAAAAACTTATAATTATGCAATCTATTTCTCAAATAAGAAATTTTATTTTTGTTATAAGGAAGGGCATAAATATGTTAATTGCCCATCAAAGTACCAAATAGATCAAGATTTTAAAGACACTCTTTCCTTAAAAATGTTTGAACTGTTCAAAGTAAAGATTTTTCCTTTTTTTTTTAAAGAATTCAGTTACTAAAATTTTATATACGAATCTTAAGATCTTAAGTCTACAATTCAATGCTTATTTGTAATGTATTATATTCTAAGAAATTAATCTTCACAAGTGAAGATTTGATTCAAAGAAACTTGTTTGCCGATAAAATTAAGATACTTTTAAATAAAGAGTGGCCTGGTTACCATATAAATGTTCATTTATTTGGGTAATTAAAATTAAAATTATAAATTTTAAAATCATTAATAATTAAAATTTATATTCGTTCATCTGTCTAGGTCATCCACGAACCTACTTGGAACATCAAAATCCGATGTGGATTTATATATTACGACACAATCTAAAGAGTTAAATGTATTTATGTTGGCTAATGTATTAAAAAAATATGTGTAAGATCGATTACTTTGTGTTAAAGAGTATGAATTAATCATCTGTACATTAAAAAAATAGATCAAATGAATTCAGTCGAGTATGTTCCAAACGCTAAAGTTCCTATTGTTAAATTCTGTGATCCTATTTTGTGCGTAAATCTGAAATTTTTAATATTTTATTATCTGTTATGTCAAATTTAAGCTTATTTTCAATTGTTAATCACAGAAAATTAGCATGTGATGTTAATATTAATAATACTGCTGGAATTTACAATACACAACTAATAAGGAGCTATGTTGAAATTGACAAAAGAGTCCAACCGTTGGTAATGATAATAAAATACTGGGCTAGGCAACGAGATTTAAATAATGCAGGTACGTGCTGTCAATTATAGCTTTTATTAATAAAATATACAGTATATTAATATAACATTTAATTGAAAGCTCGTGGAACCTTATCTTCATATACCTGGACATGTATGATCTTGAATTTCTTACAAATGCGTAACCCGCCTATATTGCCAGTGCTTCAAAGTCCTTACGATCCTTTAGCTAATGGGGCTGATTTGTCATTAAACAAGAATATTGATTACTGGAAAGGATTTGGTCACAAGAATCATGAATCGGTTGGTGAACTATTGTTTGCATTCTTCAAATAGTGAGTTAATCTATAATGCTTAAATTATTATGGCAGCTTATACTGAGATTGGCTTATGCTGGGATTTGGAGTCCCTTTTCAATATATAATATCTATTAAAATTCACTTATTAATAATACTGAGCCAAACCATAGCTGTGAAAAAAGAGGCTACAAAAAAAAAGCCACCAAAAATTTTATAACTTCATAATAAAATAGGTCAAATTCTCAGCATAAGCTAATTGTATAAGCTGTCACAATTATTGTTAAGGATGATGCTGAATTGGCAAAAGTGATAATTGGGTATGGTCTTTTTACTTATAATTATTTCGCGGCTGAAGTTGGAAATTAGGGCCTCGATTTAAAAATATGAATCCACACTTATTATCTTTTCAAAATGACCTTGAATCAAAAAAAATATGCCATAAAAATTTTGAAAATTTAATATTAAACCATTTAAAGTTTCTAGCATCAGCCGTTCTATTAAGTTTAGAGTCATTAATAAAGGTATATTATGTGTCTTAGTTGTGTTTATACTTAATTTGAAGACTCACATTCAGCATCAGCAGCAACAATAATATGTCATTTTCGAAAGCTGAAATCTTTAACACTTTATTAGCTTTGCTTATGAATTCGACTATAAGAATAATGTTATATCCCTTCAGAAAGGTAAATGTCTTTCTAAGTCGGAAAAAAGTTGGTGCCATTGGAGATTATGTATAGAAGAACCTTTTAACACATCAAGAAATCTTGGAAGTGGTATAAAACATGTTAGCTTTAGAAGGATTATTAATGAATTTCGTAGATCAATCTATATTCTCTATAAGTATACTGACCTTAACCTTTGTTGCAAACATACATTACGAACACTGCTGGATGACTTTTATGAAGAGTGTGAACAAAAAGATGGGTCTGTTATTATTTCTTTGAAAATTTTAAGCAAAGCTAGAGCATATTTAGATAGTGTAAAAATTGAATAAATAAATAAATAAAAATAAATTTGTAAGCTTAAAAATAAGCAACTTAGTAAATGGTATCAAATTTATAATAAATAAAGAATTTAGATAACAAATTTCTTAATTTAAATAGTTTATATCTCAGTTGAAGAGTAAACTAAATAAATTCCATTTGTAAACAAAATTTTTTGTACGAAGGATTAATTTGTAATAACGAAAATTTATTAATAACACTGATATATTACAGAAGTGTAAAGTAATAGTTATTTAAGTCGATGATATCCCAGTCATAAAAAAAGTTAAAACAAAAGCTCTTGTTCAAGTTATCTAATTGTCTAAATCTTTATTCATTATTATCCAAATTCTAATCGTAAAATTAGAATCACTCTCATCTAAAGTAATCTTAAAATTTTGATGACTTTCATTTTGAATAAATATTTTTTGCTCTAAACTTCTTATGTGTTGACATAGGTTATTGATTTCTTCATCCTTTCTTTTTAAGGCATTATAAATATTCATTGTAAACATTAATTGTAAATTTCAGATATTGCAGTCATATTCACTTTTATTTTTAATTCTTAAATTTTGTAAACGTTCGATTTTGCTATTTGAGTTCTTTTATTTGTTTTCAAAAAAATTATTAAGATCTTTTGTGGGGTCACCGATGTCTTCTTGTATTCCAACTTAAGTGAGGCATGATTCAATAGATTACGATTACGATTTAAACTGAGATTTTATTTATTTATATACTATGATTTGATGAAAATTTAATACATAGTATTGTTTGAAAAATCAGCATTATTAAGAGAGTACATATAGCTCTTTAAAGAGCTATTGTGATTTGTTTTTTTGTTTCGCGTATTTCTATTGTATTTCAAATTTTTACTTTCTATTATAATTTATAATGAAGTCTACAAAATTCATCTATTTATATGTAATGTATTGACTTCAGAAAAAAACAATGAACTACTTATTAGGATGCACGAGAATAACATGTATACAAATTCTCGCCTATAAGAAAAAATTTAATAATCTTATACTGATATACTGTAACTTACATCAATATTGTAAAGATGGAATTTAGATATTAGATCTAGCTAATTAAAATTTTAATTTCTATAGATTAAATGAGAATTCGTGGATATCATATGATTATGTTTCTCATATACTTATCAGGAACATAGTGAAACGAAATGTATTGTCTTGATATATTTTAAAATATATCGATACTTTACTACCTTTGTAATTTCGTATTAACATTTTCGAATATTATTTCACGTTGAAATAAGTCATGTGATTAGTCAGCCAAACAAATATCTCCTTCATTAAGAAAATTTTATAGTTACAATATCTTTACTAAACAAACTTTAATAATTCTTTTACACTAACTATAAAGTAATTTTACATATACCCAAACTTTGGGGTAACTAATGACGCAATATGTGTATTTTTCTTAAAGCATAATTAGATGCATAGTACGAAACCAAATTTAGCACATAATTACGTGATTATTGACGATCTTTGTTTTTCAGCACATAAATACGTGGAGTTTTGACGTCTTTGTTTTTCAGCACATAAACATGTGGTTGATGATCTGTGTTTTTCAACACATAAATACGTGCCCTATATCCTTTAGCCACGTAAATACGTGGACGATTTTCTTCAACTTGAAATGAGCAACCTTCTAGGTATTTTATTAACTTCGAAAACAATTATATCAGACTTTTTATTTAAGTTTTTTTTTAATGCATAGATTTGCGTGATTTTCGCGAACTAAGAAGTGGAAAAAGAATTGGTATTTTTTCATGTAATATTTAATTTTGAAGATTTCATTTTTTAATTTTTGAAATAGATCTCTCTAGTGTAAAAGAAACATCCGATTTAGAAAAGCAAAATGAAGAGCTTAAAAATCAAGTTGAAAATTTTAAAAAACAAATACAAAATGTGGGTAATTTGAATTAATATTAATCTCATGTTATATAACTTATATAATTTATATATCAATAATATTTTAGCCAAAATCAGTTGCTAAAATAATTTTAGAAATGTGCAGCGATCCAACACAAAAAAGAAAACTCGTAAGTAAATTATTATTATTCTTTTTATAAAATATATATAAATACTATATAATTTTTTATAAAAAATTTTGAATTTAAAAAGACCGATGAACTAGGTAGTAAAGGCATTGCCCTACGAAAAAAAAGTAAAAAAAAATCTAAAGTTGATGTTAACAAAGACTTATGGAAAGGCGGATTACAAAAATCCGCCTTAAATTCTATTATCGGAGTTCTTTTTAAAATTCGTCATAGCACACCGGAAGAAATCGATTGGAACGCTCTAAAAGACGAATATGAACAACAAATTAATAAAGAAAGTTATATCAAAAGCCTTGCAAAAAAGAGGTTCAACAACAAGAAGTCAGAAAGTTCACCTGATCAAATCAAACTAAGAAGATTTGAGTATTACTTGTTAGAGAATTATATAATCAAAAACGATACTAGTTCCAAGGAAATACTTAAATTCAAAAAATTTTATTATAAATATTATGAAAGGGTTGCAAATCTTCATGACATAATTGGAAAGTACATTGTGAAATTACCTTTTAATAAATACCTTTTTTTGATGGTTCTCACAGTTAGTCATATTTTTAATTTTATTTTTCTGTTTATTATTTAAACAATATAATGTTAATTTAGAAAATAATAGGTTATACTGAGCATGTTGATTCTTTAACTAAATGGTTTAAATTTAGAAAAGAATGTAGGTTTAATTTTTAACATGCAATAATATTAATAATGAGTTTTAATTTATTTTAATTTTCATAGGTAACGGTGATGAATTCACTGATTTAATTCGTAATAATGGTATGTTTTTAAATTTTAATGATTTTTTTAAAGAATAAATTCGATGAATGAAGTAAAAATTTATGTATAGGTCCTGTTTCTACAGAACATAATGAAACTAGAAGTGAAGATAATAGCGAAGAATTTGATGACAATGAAGGTAAATTTTCTAGTTAATTATGAATTGGAATGTTTCGAAAGATTAATTATAATAAATCAAATAAATTTTTTTTGCATAGAAATTATTCTTGATGAAGATTATGATAGTGAGAGTGAAGGTATTGATGATGTGTAAATTATTTCTTTGAATTCTAATATTTACTTTCATTTTGCTCAATTCAAATCTATAATTCTTGTACTTGTTTTCAAATTTGTGCATATGAATAATTTTTATCAATAAAAAATAAAAGTGATCGATTTGATATTAATAATTTATTTATTTTCTACATTATACCGGTATTTAACTTTAGTTGATATTACCAAAAGATATCCCACCATTGATTTTAATGAACTACCTACTAGAATATGGGGACTCAAAGATGTTCTCCTTAAAATTGTTAATAATGAAGGCTTGGGTTACTATCATAAACTTGCAGAGGATATAATTAAAGTTGTTGGTTTATCAAAATCTTATACTTCTATGCAACACTTTAATACATTTAAAAAAATAATTATATATATTAATTTATTTTTGGTTACTTTAGTATTAAAATTATATATGTATTCACTTTAATTATTATCATCATAGTCCAGATATTATGGTGCAAAAGGCTTGTTAATTATATTTGAAACATTGCAAAATATATTTATAAATATTATAATTAGTGATTCACCAGTCAACCAGAGAAGATCTGCAAATTTTTATAAGTAAATTTTACTATTGAGCCAAATGTAGAGTGCACCAATCTAAAACTTTTTTTCTTACTAAGTAAATCACTCTTGGGCTTATAAGATGCATCTAATAGTGGTAAGAATATTAAAATTGGCCTGGTAGTTCTTGAGAAATCTTTAAAAAATGTTTTATCGACATATAAAATTTCTTTAAAAAAATTGATTTTTTTAAAGAAATTTATATGTCAGTAAAATGTTTTTTAAAGATTTCTCAAGAACTACCAGGCCAATTTTAACGTTCTTATCACCATTAGATGCATCTTAATAAGCTCTACAACTTTTGTTATAAGCCCAAGAGTAATTTACTTAGTAAGAAAAAAAGTTTTAGATTGGTGCACTTCACATTTGACTCAATAGTAAAATTTATTTATAAAAATTTGTAGATCTTCTCTGGTTGACTGGCAAATCACCAAATAAACATAATTTGTAAACCACAAACTCCAAACAAATTTCTTTTTGATGTTTTGGTCTCCGAGACTGCAATTCAACTAATAATGGAAGATTATGGACCTAAATGTAATTGCGAAAAATTATGAATCAAAGTGCTGATTACAGAATAACTACGTACCCTGTTGACAATGAGAATTGAAATTACAAATTTTACTTGTATTCAATTTTGATCTTAAAATTATAGAATTTATGTATAGATGTTGAATAAATCAATAAATCAATAAAATAAAAAACTCTTTCCGTAAATCCTTTACACAAACTTAAATAAAAATTCATTCATCACAAAACTGCTAATATCTCAATAATTTATTAAGAAAACAGACCTTTGCATCTTAAGTAAAATTGCTCCTCTCA